TTTTTTTTTTTTTTTTTTTTTTTGCTTACCCTTATCGCTGAGGGCCAAGATGACCCCCAAGTCGGACCCGACGGTGGACAGTTTGTACGAGCCATGCTGTGCCACTGAAAGGACCTTGGCCCTGATTATGTCTCCTTGTTTAAAACATTCAAAATTATCGCCCAACTCTCCGTCGTACACATGAATATCACTCTTGTTAATGAATGCTCTGAATGAATTCTTTAAAGCTTTATTATTCACCAACATGATATTGCAGTATATTAAATTGAAGGTGACTCGATAGACTTTACATGTTACCAAATCTCCTACTTGAGGTAGCGGGACGAAATCCTTCGTATTAGCTACGCTAATGATTTGCTTTCCATTGTGGTCCGTTGCGAGCTGCCTCCTCCCCAGGATGGCAGACCTCACCTCCTTCTGCAGGGTGTACGTGTTTTCGCCACTCACGTACATGTCGCAGCTGCCGAGGACCTCCCCGGGCAGAACGATGGACTCCATCCTGGCCAACGCCTCCGCCGACTTCGTTTTCCCGATTGCTCCCCCTTTTGTTGCCGACGCGCTGAATGAATCGTCCAAGCGAGCAGCTCACCGGTAACTTTATCGCGCCACTGAAGGATGTTCAATTTTGTTCTGTTTGTAAAATGATAATCAAAATATATAATAATAAAAAAAAAAAAAAAAAAAAAAAGCCGCCCTTTGGTGCACGGGGCGAGGAAGCATTTACCCTGCACGTTCGCAACACAGCGGCTACTGCACCTCCGTAACGTGTAGCACATTGGAACGCCCTAAACCACCGTCACCAGAACTGGCTCGTGGTGGAAAAGCAAGGCGTGGTATGCATGGAAGTACACAGCGACGTAAAATAAAACCTTGCCCGGAAACAGCGAGTACACATTGAGAGAGTGCAGCAGGTGTTTTTTTTTTTTTTTTTTTTTTTTTTTTTCACTCGTGTTAGCTTGTTCTTTCTGCCTTCCGGCACACCGTGCTCCGCTGTCCACGCGCAGCCAAGGGACCCACTGCTGCTCAAACTTCCAATCAGCTTTATGCAGCTGAAGTTGGAGGGATAAACCAGAAGGCTGTAGTCCCCGAGATGGAGCGGAGAATAATTTTGTAAAAATATTTTAATGACGAAGAATTCTCCAACGGAAGACTCAAAATAATTTTTTTTAATTCCGATTTCGTTCATGTGTTTAAAATTCAACGCTGTTGAACACTTGGGGATAATCACGCTGCTTTTTTTTTTGCAGTTGTAGAACCTGGGCTTCAACACTACTGGTGGGTAGAATATGTCGTGTGGGAAGTTCGTTTGAAAGAGGGCCTTCTGAAGCTGGCGGTCCTCTCCTACTTCCTCCGCCTCTCCCGCTTCCTCCCCTTCTAGCACCTCTGCATGCGCGCAGAAGAGGGTCTCCCGCTTGGGCGTGGTTTTTTTCCCGTGGCGCTTCCCCCCGCCGATGGACCCATCCATCACTGAACAAGCGCTGTGCTCATGTGTGCGTCCCTCCGGTGAAGTCAACTCCTCTCTTTCATAATTGAGTAAGAAGCGTCCTCTGTTATTTCCATACAGGTAAATATTGTTAAGGTAGGAGCTGTAGAGGCTGAGGAGTCCGGACTTCTTGTGTCGATCGAACGAGAGGTACACATGCACATCGATGTACAATAAAAAATATTTGATTGCATCTTCTCGGGTAGCGAATGAGAGGTTCTTTTTTCGCTTGATTCTCTGAACCCATAGAACCCATTTACTCGGGGTTTCATCTGTCTCCACCACGCACGTGGGCCGCCTCCTACCCACCTTCTTTGCAGAGCAGTAGTTCACATACCCGCTGAAATTTCTTATGAACAATTGTATGAACATGTATTTGTTGTCCGTGCAGATGGTGAGGTCCTTCCTCGGTGCGAACCGTTTGTGAAGTGGAGGTACTCCTCCAAGCAGGGGTTCCCTTTCCAAAGGCACTCCACCTCTGAACCCTTCTGCACCCACCTCGAAGTAGCTCTCCATGTTGATTTCCCTACACGTGAGCTTCCTCCCCCTGAGCCTTCCCACATGCATAGTGGTCCCGTCCGCCCCCTCACCTACACCATCACCATCATCTGTGCCCCCACTTCTTACAACTCGACTCAAGGAATTTATAACACTCGAGCTGTAAAAATGAGAATTGACCATTTCGTTTAGCACATCTGAAAAATTAAAACTCACGTAAGGAAAGCAAAAGAGTTGATCAACTGAAACGTTTCTTATAACACTAATGCGAAGCTTAATGTGCTGCACGGCATAGTAGGCACTGTTCTTTTCACTTGAATAAATCACACGTACGTCACACTCGTTAATTAAAATGGAGCCGATGCATCTGATGGGGATATACAAACAATGATCCTTTTTAACTGTTAGTGGTTCCCCTTCTCTAATTCGAATTACATCATCCTTGTCCTCATTCCCACAGTTGTTACGCTTCATTTGAAATGCCAAATTAAAAAAAAACTTTAAAAAAAAATCTCCAAATTTTTTATGCTTATATTTTACCTGCACGTTCAGGTAATTTATGTCCACTTGAGAATTTTTATTCTCTAATATGAGACACAAAAATTTTGTTTCTCCTTCGAGTAACTCTGTGTGTCTTGCGTCGATGGAAAAATACGTGTTGTCATTTGTTTCGTCCATGTGTTCACTGCTTCTTATATTGGTCTTTTCCTCGTCGCTTGAATGGTTTGTCATGTCAGTGGAGGACGCCGTGGAGGATGTTATGCCGGACGAGCTGCTCGATGAGCTGCCCGATGAGCAACTCGATGAGCGCGCAAACGGGTGACGTACTTGGTGCAGCGACTCCGGGGACGACTCGGATGAGGAAGACACAGACAGGGAGGACATCTTAGGAATCGCTCCTTCAATGGGTGCAGCCTCACTAAGTTGTGTAGCCGCTCCGACGGCGCCGTTCAATTTACTCCCCAAGGGGGTGTTGTCCTTCGTGGCGAACTGTTTCCCCTGTTGAGAGGTGCGGCCACTTCCAGTAGAGCTTCGCTTGGAGGACTCCCCCGCTCCCTCCCACCAGGAACCCTCGCGCCGCACGCCCTGTGACGACCCCAAGGAAGGCGTGCAGAACTTGTCCAGTTCAGACTCGTCATGCAACATGGACTGTACGTCCACGTACCTGCTAAAGTTAAAAAGCTTTATTTCAGAGCTGATGCAAAAATAATTTTTAATAACAAAGACGGAACATGTATTGGACATCTTCAATGCGTAGCTTAACAGTGCAGTTCTGTCCGTCTTGTTCTTACTACCACGATTGTTATCAGAACAAATGAATTTTTCCTCCCCGTGGGCACGCTTCCCATCCTTTTCTGTCTCTGCAATGGCGCAAAATTGCCCCCTGCTGTCATTTTCGTCTTTCATATCCATTTTCGCCTGAACATGTTCATAATTTTTCTGTGCGCAATTTGTACCACCGGACTGATTCTCCCCCTGGGGCGGGGAAGCAGTATGAGGAGAAGCATGAGGAGAAGCAGAAATGAAGGATTCCCCCATGAACGACTTGCGAAGAATGGACGTGTCGTACAAAAGGTACTGGTCAAAGTGGAGGTAGCTGATGCAGTAGGACACCCCAAGCAGAAATAAAAGACCCGTTTCTTTTGCCCTGAAGGACAGACGAACCTTCGTCGTGTGGTTCTTCTTCCTCGACATGAGAAAAACAACATTAGATGCGTACGTCTCCACAGGAACTCCAGAAGTAATAAGTCTTACACTGTTTAAAACTAAGTTAGTCGAGAGGGTGTTTTTTAAAGTTACCTCCACCTGGTTAACACTGTTCAACTCACATATGTTATGTAACTTGGTATTCCTCTCCACTTCATTAAAGGGATTATATTTGAACACGTCTCTCTCTTCACCAGCTTGTTCTTCCGTTCCTTTATTGTCAGATGGAGGACAGCTAACCTTTTTATAAAATCGTTCATAATTTTTTGTCTCATTTATATATTCAATGTTGAGTAAAATTGGGGAGGGTGCGCACCTGCCTTCTGTCAACCCGCAAAGGAAGTGAATGTGCTTTCGTCGTTGTGAATTATTTTTCTCTCTGTTGCTCTTTTTCTTTTTCAACTTGTCCTCTTTCGTTTCCTTTTTGTGGAACGCGGAGTTGTGAGGATCCGTCTCTTGTTCGCGGCTCCTCCGCCCATCATCTTCGTAACTCCTCCCCCCCCATGCATCGCTACTGGACGAGTCCTCCTCCGGAGAGGAGCTCCCAGAAGAGGAACTGTCCCACGAGAGGGCGCCACAAGGACACCCCCCCTGCTCATGAACTCCCCCCCCAAAGCAGACGTCCCCGCCCTGACTCAGCCTCCTCAAGTACGATCTACTCCTCCGCTTCTCCCTCTTATCCATTACCAGCGTAACAAAAGGAGGGAAGCAAATGTGACTCTCACTCTTCCGAAGCGTCTCATACAGGTTGCACAAAATTAACCTCTGCACATCTGTCCTCAAAACTTTCGTCAGGAAAAAAAGAAGAAACAAATTACACACAATCGACTCACTCAGCAAATTCAGTCTCTCGAGGACTTCACTAAGTAATGCCAATACCCCATGCTGCAACCTTCCGTTTTGTCCTCTTCTATTCTTTTTATAAATTTGTAGCTCCTCACCATGTTTGTTCAGGCAAAAAAAGCTACGTACGCTCATTTCCCCAGCACAAAATGATAACAAGCGTTTAAGATTGTAATTGTTGGAGGGGTCCAACAACACACTCTGAAATAGGATGTGACTGGGTCGATCGTTTTGCGCTGGTAGGACATCATCCCCCTGGTTCTTCTCTCCCTCATGAACTCCTCCACGTAACGCTGCTCTGTTTCGTTCGGGTGGTAGCATGGTAATAAGGGCTCCTTCGCTGGCCTTCTGCTGCTCCTCCCCAGACGCATCTCGCTCTCCCCGTGGATGGCCGTCACCGTCACCACCTGCGGGAGACTCCCCGAGGCGTGCTGCCTCGCTCGCTTTCTTCAACCATCGCATGGGGTAATTCACATTGCACCCCCTTCTGGCGAAGATTCTACTTAGTAAGTCATTCGGGTGGTCACTCCTTTCCTCCTTACCCTTCGACCCGTCTAACGTACCCCAGTCAAAGTGCACCGGCACCTGCACCTGCACACAGGGCAGGCCATAAAATGGGAGCAGGCTGTTTAAAAACACATAAGTCAGGTAAAACTTCTTGTGTTCAAAGAATCGCGTACACAAAAGATAAATGGTAAAGGCAAACTTGCGGTTGGCCCCGACATGATAATAAATGTTAGCTAGCTCGATATAAAATTGAACATACAGATTGTAACTGAACCGCTCAGTCACGCAAGAATACTTTCTCATGGCGGTAAAAATGTGTCTCTTCTTTTTAATCGCTAGAAGGTACTTCAAATAACATATGAGGTAATCTGCGAACAGTTCTTGTGCGGGAGGTAACGAGGTGGAAGACGTAGTGGAGGGGGGTTGTCCCCCAGCAGGGGAAACAATACATGCATTCCGCATAAGAGATAAGGCCTCACTCAACTTGTGCTCCATGAACCCAATCAAATATATTAACGTGTTATGTCCTTTAATACTTATATTATAAAAGTAAAAGTCTTTTTCATTCGACTCATCCCCAGAGTAATTATAAAAAAAAGAGTTGCTGTCTTCCCCGTCGTCCTCCCCTTTGTCATACTCATTAAGAACGTTAATGAAGGAACTTATATTCTTAAGCACCCCTGAAGATGGAGAATCACTTGCATGGTCATAATTGTATAAAGAAAAATTCGAATTGTTAAGATACGGGTGGTAGGATCTCTCCTTTATGGACCCACTATAAGAGGATGTGTCAAAAAAAAAATTTGCATAATTCGTATACTTACTTGGAAGTAACCGTTCATATGTTTGAACTAGCAAATGCTCAACCACTTCTGCAAAACGAAAGGTATACTTTTCATTGTTATTGAGTCTGCAAAAGTGACCCCAGTTCTGTGTAACGTATAAATACATACTTAACACTATACAAAAAGTGATATTTGCATCTGACACGTGATTTTTATATTCTCTCTCCTCCTTCATCATTTCATAACACTCCATATATATTTCAATTGAATCGAGTGGACTTCCCAGGAGCAGAAATACATCTCCTTCTTTTTTTTTCATTTCATATTCTTTATTCTGGTCTACCCCTGCTTTGTCGCTTCCTGTGGACTTCTTCTTTGGTTTCCCTCGTGGGGGGTACTGTCTTCTCCTCCTCGGCCGCGTCGTGTCCTCGTCCCTTACTTCGTTCCCTTCTACACTTTGCGAGTCCTCCGCGGGAAAGCCTTCCCCACCACAGTCTTCAATGCACTCGTCACTGTCCTCCCCCGCACAGTCTTCACTCTGCTCAACGTTGTAGTCGTCGCTTAGCTCATCGTCGAGGGTAGCGGCCACCTCACCGCCCATCGCACCATCCACCCCAACGTGATGCTTCCCTTCCTCTTCCTCCTCCGGGCCATCCCCATCGGAACGGCGACTGGGCGAACCTCCTCCACTCCCTTGGGCGCTTTCAAAAGAGATCACTCCTCCACCGCTAACATCCCCTCCATGGCGTCTCTCTGAGTGATTTGCGTCTGTCTCATCTCCTCCCGCCGCCAGATCAGCAGCAGCCGCCTCCTCCCCCAATCGCGACTCCACACCATGTGGGTCCTTCCCCTGTAGCCTGCCCTCTTCATACGCACTACACTTGGACAACCGGGGGGCTCCCTCATAGAAAAACCCCTCGACTCCCCCCTTGGTGGTGATCTGACTGGTCTTGCTCAAGATGCTCCATTTAACATCGTTGTAGTACCTCTTTATATTTACGTACAAATTATTATCGTAGCTGTTTTTGCGACTGCTCAGGTTGGCCTTGCTGGCGAGGTCCCTGTTGCTCAGACTTTTCTTCAGGTGCAGGGTTCGCCCCCGGCCAGACGTAACGTGTGTGCCAGGAGCAACGTTCCCGCCCGCAGTCACGTTCCTGCCGCTCACACCTTTCTCGTCCTGTTCCCACTTCTCCCCCCCCTCCTGCTGCCTTCTTCTGCGTCGATCAAGCACACTCTCGCTGCCCACCTTGGCGCTCCGCACCGACTCACAATTAGCGCTCTCCATGAGCTCCTGCATGTACTTGCGCACGCTCTCTGTCGTTAGCATGCTGTGTAAAGAGAGCGCAAAAATGTAAAAGGCGTTGAGCAAAACGGCCTGAAAGAATTTGTTGAACTGAATGTTGAAGTGCTTCTTCACCGATGGCAGGAAGACAATAATGCGGAAGTTTTTATAATTCTTATATATGAAGGAAATGGGTTCCTTCGTGGCACTCGTCTTTCCTCCTTCCATGTGCGTAACTGACTTGGTTCTGTGTACTAATGTAGCCCTATCTTCATGACCCTCACCCGCATCTGCATTAGGTGTACCTTCAGTACGGCGAACCTGTACACTGTGGGTTCCTCCCCCGCGAGCGGCCTCACCACTTCCCGTGGCACCACCCCAAATCCAACTCTGAAAAATTCCCTCATCAGAAGACACCTCCTCCTCACTCGAAGAATGCACGTTCACCGACTTGTACTCCTTCACAGGCGTCTTGTGGAAAATGCTTAAAAAATTAGAGGAGTATTTTTTTTTTCCTTTGTACATTTTTCCGCTGCTGCTGCGCGCCCCACCTGCCCCTTCCGCAGTGGACGTCACTGCAGATGGCACTGTAGATGTCACTACAGACGCGGTGGCCATTTTCCTTTCGTGGTCCCCATTCGTGCTGATCGGGGAAACCCCATTATGCGAAGCAGCTCCTTTGCGGCTGCAAACAACCACATCGTCATCACCCACCTCCTCCTCCTCTTCCCCTCTTACACCCATACGCTGCACTACATCCTCTGATGTGACTGCACGGCCGAGGGGTTTACTGCCACCACCTGCGAAGTGCCTTTGTTTATCTTCCATGTAGTATGCAGAATTTTTCAATAGGGAAAAATTTCCCTCCTTAATGTATTCGCATGGATTCGTTTTTTTTTTTTTTTCTTCCAAATCTGTAACTGTGTCTTTTGAGGAGACTACTTCTGGGGGGACTTTAGTACACCCATCACCACCACCACGACTTACGTCCCCTCCGACGTCCCCTCCTCCCCTCCCCCCAGGTCCATTTGCATAAAGGAAACTTTCATTTATTTTTATAATTTGACCCATGATGTAATTATCGTACCTGTCACAAGACGGGATCACTAGAACCCTTTGTACAAACACACAGCTGTTGCGAAAAAAAATATTATTGTATGTGTTAATCAGGTTGACCATTTTTTCCCTCATGCGATGTAGCCCTGCGCTTTCATCAGGGGTTACCCCACCTGTAGTCCCCTCTCCTCCCTCGCGCAACTCATGAACTCCAATCGATATAAATACATTAGAAAAAAAATTCACTCTGTCCACCCTCATGGCCTTTTCAGCCAAATCAATGTAGCTAATGGACAGACTTCCATTTCTTCGAACATAACTTGCATTTTTAAATATATTAAAAAAACATTCATCCTCGTGGTCTGTGTTTGTGTGATGGTTGTTTGAAGACTCCCATGGGGGAAGCTCGCTCCGCAAAAACAACTCATTGTCGCTCGAGTTTATATGATTTATGTAGCCCCGCAAGTGGTGAAACAGATCGTCGTAGCTTATCTGCCCGTATAGGTTCCTCACTTTACTGGAGACCTCTTGAAACAGCTCCTCGCTCGTGCGCTCCGTCTTCCACAGGTACACCTTGGCCTTCCCGTAGTCCCCCAGATTCACGTGATTCGCCGCGCCCATCGGGAGCAAAGCGGCAAAGGGGGGAAAGCGGCAAAGGGGGGAAAGCGGCAAAGGGGGAAAGCGGCAAAGGGGGGAAAGCGGCAAAGGGGGCAAGCGGCAAGGGGGGCAAGCGGCAAGACGACAAAGCGGAAAAGGGGCAATGTGCGAACCCCTTAACGCTGTGGCCACAAAAAGGGAAGAAAAAAGTATGCCCCGAAGGTGTGCACGCAACCGTGTACCGAGAGGGTGAAAATAAAGCGAACCCACGGCAAGTGGCTGTGAGCACACACAGCACAGCAGGCTCTTCTTAAGACCATGTAACAATTCCAAACGAAAAAAAAAAAATTATAAATAAATACATATATATATATAACAGCAAACGGGGTTATATACACATATATATGTATGTTTTTTTGGGGGGGGGGGGACCAGTCGACCCGTAGTCGGCCTCTTCCCCTCGCTCTCTTCTCGCGGTGACGACGCTTAGGTCAATGTGCTGGCCCAGCTCGAGCCTTCCCAAATTTGCCCCGCCCGTCAGTTTTCCCCATTATTCTGCCTTTTTTTTTTTTTTTTTTTTTTTTTTGCACATTTTTTTGGCCATTTTTTTGTGCCTTTTTTGTGTGCCCTTTTTTTTTGCCCCTTTTTTGTTTGTTCCCATGGCGCCCCTTTACACCCCTCTTTGGCCAATCTGAACGATGCCGAGGCGCAAGGGTAGCATATGGGCGATGGACGCGCGAATGTGCAGGCCTCGCGCGGGTGCAGTTTTTTGGCCGCATGGAGGTGCTAGTGGAGACGCCGCTCATCGCTTTGGCGGTGTTGCTGCTGCCCCAGTTGGTGGTGCGACACAGCCAGTTCTCGTACCACTTCACACTACTTCTTCTGCTACTCTCCGGCGCGAGTACCCTGCTCTTAGACGGGAGACACCGATGCGAGTGTTTCATCACCCCCGCCGAGCGGGCAACCGCGCAGGAGGCCTGGCGGCTGTTCGTGTCCAAGCCAGCACAGAAAAAAGCCAACCAACTCAAAACCAAAATTGTGGTGAATAAAAAAAAAAAAGAAGAAAATTTAAAAAAAAAAATAAGTAAAGGTGTAGAATTTAAAAGTTCGTCCAAGTATAAAATAATTGAAGACCTACTTGAAGGATACCCATACACATCACTACCAGTACCTGAACAAAATATACAAAGAGAGCCATTCATATTGCTTAAGGGAAAAGTGAAAGCAGAATTTTTACAAGGCATGGAGTTACCCTTTGGACTCATAGACCCCGTAAAATATGAACTGTTGAAATTAATTGGAAGGCTAGGAGACCCGTTCAGCAACTTGTGCTCTCATTCATTAACACCAAGACTTCTAATCGATTCTCTTTTTAAAAAGCAACCACAACTAACGTTTAATGAATTCTGTTACAGACTCGAATATAAAAGAAAGTTTTTAATGCCGTCTTATACAAATATTTTCATGTATGAAAAAGAACTCCTGTGGCAACAATGGATGGCTGTGCGAAATTTAAAAGAGGTGTCTCCTGAAACCCCTGAAGAAGATCATGAACGGGTTCAGAAAATTCTGCAACCAGATGAAACAACAATGCAAATCGTTATGGTAAAGGTTAACAGAGAAATAAATAATCAGGGGGTCCACCCAGCCATCCTTAAAATGTTTTTTCATTTTTTAAATGTACAAAATGATCCTCATCATCTCAACCGTGATTATGCTTTTTTTAAATTAGAATCGATAATGAGAAAGGTTAAAAATAGGGACTTCCTTGAAGGGATCAAGCCAGATTACATCTACCTCATGTTAAATGAAAAAGCTAAAGAAGCTTTTGCATCTTATAATAAAAGTGAATTTGAAACGACCTATCATGAGGCACTGAATCATAACAATATGAAACAGAAGCTGCTCTCACAAAACGCGACTTATAAAAAAGAAAGAAAAGTGTTCTCGGAGAAGACGAAGACATCCCTCATGAAGTTCTACGACATTGAACTGCCTTCCTTCTTCAAAGAGTATGTAAAAAAGAAGGAAGAAAATTACAAAGTCATTCATTCGAAGATTCACAAAATGATCACCAATAAGTACCTCAAGCGGAAACGTCGCAGGGAGGACATACTCGCTGGACGCATCACCCCGCAGGAGTCAGCCGTAGGGGACGATACCCCTGAGGATGAGACCCAGCCGCGCAAGAAGAAGAAAAAGAAAAGGAAAAAGTGAAACCGGTCTTATGCGCTGTGGAGGGGGAGCGGCAACCCCTAACACACGCGCACGCACACATGTACACTTCTCTTGTCTGGCATACTCGTTGTTACGTGGAAAAAATATATATATTATCCCACTTTTTTTTTTTTTTCATTCAGTGCAGCACCCACTGTTGCTTCCTAACATGCTTGGGTAATTTTAAGAAAATATTTTTTTTTGACTGTTGTTCGTAGTTTTTTTTTTAATTTTTTTTAACATTTTTCAAAAATCAAGCATGATTAATGCTATTTATAGAGGGGGAGGGAAATGGAGGAAGTGGAGTCCCTCCTGTGGACACGGGTAACTAATATGCACGGCACAATTTAAGAGGGGGGGAAAATAATAGTAAAAAGAAAAAAAAAAAAAAAACAGACGAGGGAACGGTGCGCTGTTGGAGATGCATATAAGGTATACACATATTATATATATATAAAAGTATGCACTCTTCACGCCACTTAGCTGTGCTTAACTTCGCTTATCTCCGCTCAGCTTCTATTAGCTTCGCTCCTATTAGCTACGCCCCGTGGGGGCAATGTGCAAAACGCCTACTCGAAGGCTCTCTTGTCATATGAGCGACCTCTTCCCATCGGCTGTCTTAGTTCTCTTGAAAATTCCTCCTCCATTTTTGGCGCCCTGTTGACGACCTTCTTGGAGAGCGTGGCTGGGAAGATGGATGGTGGCAGGTGCAGAAACTCTCTTAGGTATTCGATTCCTGCAGAGGGGGAAACGGGGGGGGTCAAGCGACACGTTTGTGATGGGCACGCGACACGTTTGTGATGGGCACGCGACACGTT